ATAAGTTCTAAAACTCACAAATTATAGATATACTAATATACATATTCATACTATAGAACCTATAATATGTAGCTAGCTAGAAAGGGTGAAAAAGTAGTTGAATGATAAAATAATAGAAGTAAAACCTTTTATAGTAATAGAAACATTGTAGTTGTATAAATATTAACAACAATGGTAAGAATAGTAATCCCATAATAAGAGTTTTTTCTAAAATATTTCTTAAATAAAACCTATTTATCAATTTATGACTAAACATTACTAAAATATAATATCATGTCACTTAAATGTAAAAATTAACATAAGTTGCTTAAAAAATGATCATAAGTTAGCGTGACTAAAGTTACTACATAGAAGTTGTCATATTTTGTAAACAATATCTATTTTAGTCATTAATATGTAATTTTTAATGATGATGATGAATTTTCCATCATGAATGATGATGAAAAGAATAGTCGATTGCAATTTATATAACTTTGCACAAGTTTAAACGTTAACGCGCGAATTGCAGGTTGGAAAATTTTATATTACCAAAGCGGAAATGTGTTCCAAACTAAGTCCAAAGAAGGAGGTTTTTTATGTTCCTTTTTGTCCCTCCTTATACAAATTTTCCCACACCAGTTGAGTGGACAAACTTCTCATTCCAATTTCCAACGCAACTATAAATATAAGAGCACTTCTCTAATTTTTTAAAAGTACCACCCAGACGTTATTGTTATGGGTAATTCTATCTGCAACCTCATTTTTACTAAATACACACCCACATTTTTAAAATGCCATTCACGCCCTTCGAATTAATTTAACGTCCCTATAACTTAACATCGTTCATTTCATTTCGGTGGAACGTCTCTCGTATTTACAATTGCTCATACTCTATTTATCCCGCTCATGTCTGAGCTTTCCAAAAAGGAAGAAACCGACTCTTTCTCATTCTCCCGCAAGCCATCGTAGTCGGACGGAGAAGAGACGAAGCAATAGAAGAGACGAGATCTGAAATGAAAGCTAGCAGCAGAGATAGAGACGAGCGGTTGAGCCCATAGATATACACACGATCAGTAAGGCGGAAAAGACCGGATCTGGAATTCAAGCTAGCAGCCTTGAGTCACCGACCGAGAAAGAGAAGTCTTAAGTAGTTTCTCTTCCTCCTTGACCTCCAGCGTCTTCGACCGAGAAAGAGAAGTTTCTAGTACTTTACCAAGCTTGTTTAATTTCTTGTGTCCTGAATGATTTCATCTGATTAATAACAAAATTGCTCAAATATTTGCTATATTTTACTCCTATTAAGGGGGTTTCTCTTGATTAATTGCTATTTTCATAGACTGTTGTTTCTTATATAAGGTCATCTTTATCCTTGGATTGGTTCATCTTGGATTTTGGTATTTTCTAATTTGTTGTTTAGATAATGAGGGTGAGACTTTGATTTTAATACTCGTTGTGTTCTTGAGTATTCAACTTAGGTGAGATTGTACTAATTTTTTTTAAAGATAAACTTCACTCTGAGGGTCCACTAGAACTAGTAAAGTGGTAATTAAGACACTTTATTGAGAAGGTCAAGTTATATTAAATTTGTTTATTATCATGGTGTCATTAACAAGGAGTGGATGTTTGCAGAGAGATTTATAATAAAAAAATGATGCTTTCTTGTTTGGAATACAAATGAAATGGAGTGAAAGTGATCTAGAACCAGTCTGGTGGGTGTCGAAATGGCTGAAGCAACTAAATTGGTTTAATCAAGAGCTAGCAGCAAAATTGATTGTTTGCCGCTGAGGTGTAGTAACCATAGTTAGTTAAATACGGTACGGGAATTAAACGAGGTTTAATACGTACGTGTTTTATTCGGCAATAAGAATGAAAAAGACGGTCAAAAATTCGTTGAAAAATACGTTGACTTTTAAAAAACGTGTGAATACGTATACGTGTATAATACGGTATATGTTACAAAAATTCGGACAAAAAATACGGGGTATTATTTTGAACATTTATAGTATATACTTCACAAAACAAGATATATAGTAAAAAAAAAGTATACACATATTCAAGTAGCAAATCTCATTACCACATAAAAGAATAATTTGTAATTTCATAAGTTGATCAAAAAATAAAAATACTAATTAAATTCAAGACATAATTTTGCAAAATAAAGTCAAAAGAATGAGGAATAATAACAATAGAATGAGACTAAGTTAAAATCATTATCTTTATATAATCGTCAAATAACACTCAAGTCAAACTCATGATCGATTTTCATCAAGATGATGGATGACATATGATATACAAGTACGTTGTGCGATTGCTATGCTTATTATTGTTTATGTGTAAAAGTTTATACTAAAAATATGTCAGGTTTAGAAAATCCTTAATTTTGATATGATTGATTGGAAAACATCATAATTCCAATAATATTTCAACTTTTGGTCTTTTGGGAAGCTAGCTTTAGCCACCATGCAAATAATTTTAGTGATTAATAATTGCATTGTAACAATACAAAAACATGGGGTCACGAGAAGGAGGTTTTCCTTTTTGCTTTTAAGCTATTGTTGATCTATTATGCATTTAATGCACTAATTCAATTGATCAGTTCATGTTTCTATTTCTGTAAAGTACGGAAAAAATACGTTTTATACGAGAAGTAGGAGTTTTTTTCCTTTTTAAACGGACCGACATTATTTTTCGTTTTAAACGCGTTTTTATGTACTACTAGTAACATACCAACAACTATTTTTTCTCTGTCATCTTTCATCCTGGACATCATCCAATATTTTATGGACATTAAATTCTTAGTTTGAGTTGGGGTGTGGTTTTTGCTTGGTAGTTGATGTTGCATGTTCTTTTTTGGGTAAGAGAATGCTATGAAATGTCTCTACCTGAAAAAGAGCTCCCCTCCCTCCCATTCCCTTATAAAAATTAATTTCATTTTAGGTCTGACTTATATCCACCAGCAGTGGATCAATGTTACCAAATTTTCAAAGGATCATTATATAACTCCAATTTCTTTGAGGAGAGTTGAACGAGTTTAGCCAAATGCTAAACCATGGTTTAACAGTTCATCATATTCTTAAGTAGCTTCTCTTAACCTTTGTCTAATAGTGAAGGCAATTCGAATAAGGTACCACCCCAAACAATATAACAGAGAAGGAATGCTTGGAAGAGACTGACAAGAAGTTTCAAGGTTTGCAATTGCATATACTTGTGACACCATTATTTATGATGAGAAGATTTTTGGAGGTAAGTTCTTACCTTCAAGTGTTCTTATTATAACAAAAAGAAAATCACTAGTAGAAGACAATGTTTGCATGAGTTACTTTGTGACTCAAAGTATGTTACTTTCATTATCGCACACAGAAGCCCCCCGGTATTGTATTTCATGCGCGTACACTTAGTCAGTTTGTTATTGACAGTAAAACTAATCCCATTCTGAAAAAGTCCGCCTGTACTTTTAAGATTACTTGTTTGTTGTGACTGAATATAACACACTTATTAGGGATACTTGTTGAAAAGGCACATTTAATATGATAGGAAAAAGCTTCTTTTGTTCAAATATGACTCTTTTGGGATGGATGGAGTATCATAGACCAAATTAGGGCTACACAAGAATAATCTGAACCCGCATAACCCGCCCGAACCAACCCTACCCGACCCTATTTAATCGGGTATTTCATTTTAAAAAATATTCATGGGTTGAATATGTTTGAACCCGCACCTAATGGGTAGGGTTGCAGAATTAAAATCTCAAACCCGATAGTACCCGACCCGGCCGAAGTTCATTTTACTATTACTATGCTACAATTTTTCCTTGGACAATTTCAGTTTAAGACCAATGTTCTCTATCTAGGACTTAATGATATTAAAATTATAAGTAAACATTTACCATTTTGACTAGATGGTTATTATATATTTATGTTTCCTTCTAAATGAACTTCCTTTACACAAGGATGTTTTAATACTATTACCTAATGTTTTTGCCTATAAAAGATACGAGTACTTGTATTTGTTTGTGTGTTTCGGAAACAAGTTAATCGATTTTTAAATTGGTTACATTAATTTCCCACATGAAAGATGCAACCTGAAGTGATTTTTTCCCCAATACCCAACCCTACCTGACCCGTACATGCATGGTTTATCAACTTATTTTGCGTACCGCGGGTTGGTTAATAGTCAACCCAAACAAATCATATCGGGTAGGCCCAAAAAATATAGCAAATCCGACCCAACCCGCCCGATGTGCAGCCCTAGACCAAACCGATTCTTGCAAATTTCTTAATGGAAAGGTGATCTTTTCATCAAATGCACGTAATATGGCAATACTTGTTGAAAAGGCTTGAGAGCTTTTTCTTCTTTGGCTTTATGCGCTCGAGAGCCAAACCAAACATTACAGATTGTATTTTATGTTGTATTACCATCCAGTATTTTATGCCACATCATAATCTTGGAAGCTCTTTAATTGCAAGCCAAAGTACGTGTTTGTAGTACTTATTGAAAAGGATGGACGGTAAAAAAACTAATAAACACGTACTCTAAAAAACGTAAAATTACACAACTGAATCAGTTTAAATGAATTGACTGCCTAATGCAAAGATGGAATACTGATCTCATGTAGAAATAGGGTAATAAAGGATTCTCGGTCTTTTAGTTTTTCTGGCTGTCTTTCTTCTTTGGTTTATGCGCTTGAGAGCTTCCCCTGTTCTGGCCTGCGTTTTGCCTTGCCGCGATGGTTAACGATCGTAACTTAATGTTCTGGCCTTCACGTACTTAACGATCGCTAAGTACAAGGGTAGTCTCGTTAATCACTTAATTATTATTTAATTAAGTGGTTGTGTTTAGTAAAATTAGGGTTGTGAATAGAACTTCCCTATTGTTATTGGCGACTGACCGTGGGTTTTGAACTTGGCCAAACTTAAGCCCACGAGTTTCATTGGGCTACCTTTCTTCATGCATCTGGGCCGCGCAGGGCGTTCTAATGATGCCTTGCGATTAGGCCCGTTAATGTGGCACATTTTCAAACTTCTTACTACACTAATTCAACCAAATAAATCATAGAGCTAGGAAAGTTAACAGACATAAGTTATAGATACAAAAAAAAATCGACAGTTTGCCTTTCAGGCTACATCAGTTCATTATAATATAATGAGAAATTATTACTCCGTATTTTACAGATGTGATGATAAGAATTATACAAACACTTCTATTTACGATTGAAGACATATTTCATTAATCCAGGAATGTGAGTCTTGATGAAATAATCATCCCAGTTGACTACTTTAGGGTCAAAGTAAAACACATCTGTTTCAATGCCCCCTTCTATGGCCGCTCCTCGCAATTTTTCAGTGTTAATATCATCGTATCTGTCCACAACATATATGCATACTAAGTATCTTTGGACACATATTTTTGTATAGAAACGTTGTTGATTTCAAATATTTAAAATGTATACTTACACTCCCTTGAAGAATAAGTATGGCTGGTATAGATTTACTAGCCTCATCACAGTCTTGATTTTTCTGTGCATCTCATTGTATATACTATGGAAGTACTGACAACATGCAATATTTACTATCTCCAAACCCTGTTTAGTGTAGGAAAGCATGCATACATATAAGAAACATCAAAGTTTAACCTGGAATCAGGGGCAGAGTTAGGGGCAACTTAGGCTCTCGCCCACCCCAAATTTGGGAAATGCTTTAATTTGTAAGGTTAAAAATCTCATGTATTTTTTTCAAAAATATTCTTTATACCGATGCAATCCGAAATATCCAAGATGTTTGTGAAATAAGGAACTTTCCTATCATCAGGTGTTTTTTTGCATCAAATTTGTAAATAGGCACACGAGGAAGCGGTCCAGCCCAGCTGGTCACCGACTCACTCTCCATCACGGGAGATCTCGGGTTTGAAACTCAATGGTGTGAGTTTCAGCCCTAATTAATTACTCCAGGCCCCACATTCCCCCCTCCCTCAGACACCCCCCTGGATTAAAAAAAAAGTGTAACTAGACACACAAATGACTACTAACCTTTAAAGGGATGAAGTAGTGAATGGCCATATATCTGCGGAAGCTATCCATGCTGCCTAGCACAGTCACCTTTCCAACAAGAATGGGTTTTCCATCCTTACCTATGCATGGATGTTTGGTGAAGAAGCGGTATCCCAAGTCTTGCAACACTTTGTACCTCATTGGGTTCGAAACTGATGACCCTATATGGTATATGCTTTCAGTTCCTTGTTGATTTGCATGTGCCACCATGGCTACTATCATGGCGTTTACCACCATATCAGCCGGTATCTGTCATTTTGTAATCATGTAATTTGTTTAATTTATTTCTTAATTCTTTTTGGAAGTTACCAAATATGCTATGGGACAAAAATAGAGGGACATCCAAAAATGGAGCAATTATAGAGAATAGAGGGAGTAATAAAAGTTCAAACTTACAATATTGTCATAAAATTAGTGGCATGCCAATTTGTGGGACACAATTCGAGGGACACAATCCAATCCAAAATATAAATAAATTAGGACTAGAATTGATCAAATTCCACGCACTTAGAGGCTAAGCAAAGCCGTGTCCCCCAACACTAGTTTGTAACCATTTTGATACTTTACCCATTTCTTTATACCCATTCTGGTGAGAAGATATTTTTTTTTTTGAGAAAAGGGGCAAATAAGCCCTCCAACTATTTGCGTTTTTGCAATCAGGCCATGAATCGGAAGACTTGCGGATACACCCCTCAACTCAATGAAATCAAGCAATCAGAACCTTTTTACTTTCTGGTGCCCGTAATTTCTCATCTCTTTACATGCACTAGCAGGTAAAAAGGGATCTGATTGCTTAATTTTCAACGAGTTGAAAGGTGTATTTGCAAGTCTTCCGGTTCAAGGGTTTGGTTACAGAATCGCAAATAGTTCGAGGTCTTATTTACCTTTTTTCTCTAATTTTTTTGTATGTGAATCTCGTGTATAGTCAAAAAGTAGCCTTCTCATGGGAGGTAGGTATAAATTGGATATACATAAATGGGTACAAATGAAACTTTTCAGTTTGTAATAGCTAAAATATAATAAAATTAGCCACAAAGGACATCTTTCCAACAAACAAATTGTACCGGCGTTTCAATTGAATGTGATACCATAATACTTTTTTATTTTCTTAAAATTCTATCCAAAAGACCTGTGTAACATTGCCTTGAAAAAACTCAAGCTAAAATGGTACATGTATGTTTTTTTAGAAGAGCATTTCGGGAGAAAAAAAAACTATTTAAGCTAAGAATTATTTTCGACGTATGTCTACGATGTCATGTTTGGATCTCACTTAAGAACTACTTCTTCCGTCCCACTAAAACTATTCTATGTTTTTCTTTTCTTAAAATCTCACTATGAATATCTCATACTAAATTTATAAAACTTGTGTGACTTTTCAAACTCATTTTTCTTAATAATCATCTTCTCCTGTCCCAATGTTAATATGATGGAGGTAGTAGACAGAGTTGGATTAGATGCAGGGGCAATGACCTATCACCAACATATTTAGTCATTTACTATTCCCTAGTCCCACACTGCACAAAATCCAATGTTTTCTAAAAACATACTCCCTCCAGACTCCATTCCATAAAATTCTTCTCGATTCGATTTGGATTGGAATTTAAGAAAGTATAAATAAAGTGAAAATGTATAATTGTGATTGAGTAAGAAAAAGATAAATAAATGTTAGCCACACAAAATTACTTTCCAAAAAGAGAAATGAGGATATTTTTTTTGCCGTTCCAAAAACATAAGTGGAAAGCATTTTAAGGGACGGAGGAAGTACATCAACTGCAAGAAGCATACCACATCTACTATGGTCTTAGGATCACCAAGGAAGCATGTTATTTTTCCTTTACCATAAGCAACTGCTAAGCTATCGATAGTTCTGCATGTACATACATGATTACAATATAAGTTACTGTAATTTGGAAGTATAATACCATGAGGAAAGCTAACGGAATAATTATAATAATAGTAAGGAAAATAGATTCAATAGTAATGGACTGATGATTGGGTACCTCACACCTTCAACCCAACCAGGGAATGGTTCCTTGTAAGTGCTTGTTATAATGGTCGGACGTATAATGACAAGAGGCACATTGTCTCTCAATTCACCTAAAAGCATCTCTCCCATTGCCTTTGTAAATACGTAAGTGTTTGGCCATCCATATGCCTTCGCTCTTTGAGAGAGAGAAATGTTAGTCAAGGGATTTAAATAATAAAAGAGTAAATTTTCTCAAATATTAATGAAAGAGTAAATTATCTCAAATACTTTGCAGATATACCTTCGGATGCCAATGTCTTTCATGGCTAAGGTGATGGATTCTTGAGAAGAATTTTCAGCTCGGAGCATTTTCAAAGTTTCATTGATTATCCTTTTTTCTCTATCAATGTCAAGCCCACATGTTCCGTTCAATGTTTCCCCCATTTTGTATGGGCTTTCTAGTATGAGTCCTTGCTTTTCACCGCATACATATGCTGTTACAAATCCATTCAACTTTTTAAGTTATTTTTTTTTAACTTGTTAAGTTTACATTGTATAATAATACTTGGGGTTTTACTTGAATATTACTAATTTTGAACCAATTACCCAAAAAGTGACCACTTTTAAAAATGGACAAAAAAGTGATCAAGAAAGTCATATATGTGCAATTAGAAAGTGCAATTAGAAAACATGATGTAACTACAAAAATTTTATGTCACTGTGTTCGTTTATTTTGTAACTACAACCATCACCCATGTCACTACAACCACCGCCCGTGTCACTGTAGCCGCCACTCGTGTCACTGTAGCCGCTATCTGTGTCACTGTAGCCGATGCACGTGTAACTGTTGTCACCATACGTGTCACTCAAGCCACCTCCTGTGTCACTATAGCCACCGCCCATGTCACTATAGCCACCACCGGTGTCACTATAGCCGCCGCCACAGTGACGCCGCCACAGTCACGCAGCCGCCATAGAATTTTCCGGCACCTTTTCTAGCGGCCTGGCACCAACAGCAACCCAAGCCTCCATTGCCTCCCTTGTCCGTCCTGAGCCACCACCTCTGCTCATGCCCCACCCCATAGCCCCCTATGCACAGACCAGACCCCAACCTAGCCCCAATCCCTGCCCACCTCTACCATATGCACCAGATCCCACTCAGACCCCTGCCCCACCTCTCCCCACATCACAGCCACCCAAACCCCTGTCCCCACCCCCTGCCCAACCCCCTGAACTGTCCCTAACCAACCTCGCACCAGTTATCCGGCAACCACCACCACCACCCGGAAGGCCGACCAGCACAGATCAACCTTCCCGCCACAACTCCTGCACCACCACCAGTGCCTGCACAATTGGTTCCCAACACCACCACCCCCATAGCCCTGCAAACACAATTTTTTTTTATCAAAACTCTTCCTTCCTCTTCCCTTCCCTCCTTGACTCTCCCCTTCCCTCCCCTCTGAACCAAACAAGGCCTTAGAGTTTGACATGGATTTTAAGAGGAAATTATGGGGGTAGTATAGAGAGTACAGGGTAAAGTAATGATAAAGTAGGAAATAGAAAATAGTATGTAAAAAGTAAAAAGGGGTAAGGGTAATAAAAGTCGGAGTATAAATGTATTTTGATTGAAAAAATTTACCAAAAAGGAAATAGAGACAAATAATTAAAAATATCACGAAAGGAATATGAGACAGTTAATAGAGAATGGAGGAAGTAATAAGTTACACTTTTAATTTGCTCCTATGAGCAATACATTAGTTTCATACATTAGTTTACATAATTATTCGGTACATGACTATTTCTTTTTGATCATGTATGACTCCTATATCGATATTTCTAATAGTTAAAATCGCCAGATAGGCATTAGAACTTGGAAAGTTGGGCGGAAGGATCACAAGTAGACCAAATGGTCAAGTCAAGTACCGAAAGGAATACATTAATAAACAATGACTAAATGTGAAATTGTTGTAAATTTCGTACTATCAAAAGTGGAATTAAAAGTTTTGAGATTACTAAATGGGAATAGGAACAATTTGCCCACCTACCATTGTACACTAAAAGTTGTATGATAAAAACTAATAAGAGTCATGTGCGTAGGGCTTGTATACTGTGAGCCTGTTTGGTAACACCGAAATCGGCTAAATCGGTTGGTTCTGCTAAAATTTATGAAGTTCTGGCTGAAGTGACTGTATTGGCTGATTTTGCTGATTTATGGGGGGATTAAAATATATTTTATAAATAAAGTAAGAAAAAAAATATGAAAATAGCTAAAATGGTCATCTACAGTAACTTCAGCCAATACAGCGAAAAAGTAACTCCAACCTTACTTTTTCTTATTATTGCACAATTTAGCGCGCGAAATCAAAAGTCACATGTTTGCTTAAAAAGTTGGCTAATAAATCTATTAAACCGAAAAATAGACTCACCAAATGGGCTAAACATGGATATGATCAAGCGTAAATATGGATGAATGTTCAAAAACATGGATGATAATATGATGACAGATTGAATGGATGATATGTTAAAGAGAAATGCTAGAGGTACCCCCATTTTCTACTCTATTTTGTACCTCATTCTATATTTGTGGCTCACAAAAATCCAACCTAATTAAAATAATTGCTCCATTTTTACTCATTGCTTTTGTGAATCACAAATATAGGAGGGATACAAAATGGGGTACAAAATGGGGTAGCTTATTAGTGTATGTCTATGTTGTAAAAACCAGACCGGTGAGCGACCCGGTCATGTGAATGGGTCACGGGTCAACCCGGACCCGGAGGGTCAACCCGGTCAAAGCCGGAAAACAGGTCAACGATTATACGTCTATATAATAATAATAAACATATAATTATATACACTCTCATTGTATATTTTTATTTGTATTATACATTTATATTATAATTTGGCATGATTTTCATTCTTAAATAAATATATAAATATATTACATAGTTTTTCTTTTTAGGGAATTGAAATTGCAATTTTATTGGTTTAAAAAATGCATTAAAATTAAAAAAGAAATTACTTTTTTTTTTTGGAAAAGACCGAAAACCGGGTTTTTCGGGTTTCTTTGGTCGGGTCCGGATCGGATTTTTTCGGGTCAGCCGAGTTTTTCCGGTTTTTGACCATTTTCGGGTTTTGAAGAAACCGAACCGGATTTTTGTCCGGGTCACCGGGTTCCGGGTCAACCCGGCCGGGTCGGGTCGGTTTTTTAAACATAGGTGTATGTTAAATGAGTTCACGCTTCCGAATTTCTGGGAACCCAAATAAGAACCGTACAGTACCAGTTCCAAAATTGATTGTTCCAGTTTGAATCTAGTTCAGTTCAGGTTCGATTTCCGCTTCCAAATTTTTTATATTTCTTGTATTTAAATTTATTTAATTTATTAAAAATATAGTAGGTAATAAGTAATAATATTATTCAAATGAAAGAGTTCCTAAAATATTAGCGTAATTAATAATTAGTATTTCTATAAGTATATAACTAAGTACACAAATAAGATAATTAATAACAAAAATAGTTTTTTTTTAATCAATAACTAAGTAGTTCGAAATTAGGTTATACAAATTTAGAATTTGGTAATATTAAAATACTCCAACAATCACTAAATTATGTATTTATAACTATAATTTGTAATATTATCGTGTTATTACTACTAATTACCAAAAAATACTAACTAATTTATTTTTTATTTTTAATGTTAGTACAACAAGAAAAACTATTACATCTATAAAAAAAACTTATTATTGTTGTTGTTTCTGTTGTTGTGATTGTAATAAATTTTTATTACTATTTAAGAATTTATTTATTTTGGGCCATTTATTTTTAATAAAACGGTTCGGTATAGAAACCGGCAATTTCGGTTCCTTATTTTGAAGAACCGAATAAGACTCGTGAATCCAGTTCCAAACAGAGGTACTATAGTCTATATATGCGATTATTCAAGTGAATTAAAAAAAAACACTTCCAAATTCCGATACCTCTTGAACTTAAAATTGAGGACACGTCTTGAGTCTTGACGTCTTAGGATGTTTTCTTTTGGACTGAAATTTGCTGGTCTGGTCTGGTCTGGTCTGTTTAAGTCTGGTCTGGTCTGGTCTGGTCTGTTTAAGTCTGGTCTGGTCTGGTCTGGTCTGAACTGGTCTGGTCTGGTCTGGTAAACGTCTGGTCTCTGTGTATTTTATAACTACGGAAGTCTGGTCTGGTCTGGTCTGGTCTGTTTAAGTCTGGTCTGGTCTGGTCTGGTCTGTTTAAGTCTGGTCTGGTCTGGTCTGGTCTGGTCTGTTTAAGTCTGGTCTGGTCTGGTCTGCGACTGAAAACAGTCCAAAAGAAAACATCCTTACTCTTGACTTACCGGTTGATACGTGAAGAAGAACTCTCAAGTTTTGGCACTTTCTGGCAAAGTCCAGCACATGCTTAGGGCCCATCGTATTAATCTTCAAGGACACGTCATATCTGTAATAAGTTTAGTCAGTGGAGCATAATCCATTAAAGTATTGAACATGCTTGTATACATTTATATGAGAGACAATGTTTTTATTCCAAAAAGTTTAAATGTTTTTACATCAAAAAGTTTAATCAAATCAAGTCCGCACACCACAAATTCATACGGAGTAGTTGTTAGGAAGAAGGAATAATATAACACTTTGAGAAAATGCTAGAGGTATAACATATTATTCTGTGACAGACAAAATTTTCTTAAGAGACAGACGAGTGTAAACAAAGTGTGTACACAAAGTGTGTACCTCAAACATTTTTGTAACACTTTAAGGTGTGAGAGTCAGAGGGAAGTTGTTATATCATGGAGAGCATCCTCTAAGAACTAAAATATGCGTGAACATTTTTTTTATTTCAGCAGCAGTGTGGTGTAAGTCGCGTTTAAAGAAATGTAATTCACGTTAATAGAAGTGTGGTGTTACTCGCGTTTAAATAAATTCTCGCGTTAAATTGCCCAATTATTTTACATAAATAGTGGAGATATTTTTTAATATCAGGGCTATAAAAAAATAGGAAAAATTCACATGAATAATCCGAACTATTACCGATCTTCCAATATTAATCTCATTTATTGGTTATTCTACAATAATATGTTGTTAACATGGAATCTTCTCAAATTTGATCCCTCTTACCCACTACCCGCTAAACCGGTAAACAAAATAGGAAAAGGGAAAAAATAGGGAACAGAAAACACGAAAAACTAAAAGGGAACAGTGATCTGGCATGTATCGACTTTTCTTCCCCAAAACAACTTCATCGTTCCAAGCATCCATCTTCAAATCTTGTATGATGGACAATCCATGAACTTTACGTCCTTATAGATCGAGTAGCGAGGCTGATGGCCTGAGATGATTCAACTGGGCCAACTTCTTTATTATGTCGCCGGAATCCCTTTGGCGCCTCAATTGCACCATAACAATTTGTTGTGAGGAATTTCACAATAAGAAAACGGAAGAAGGAGATGGTGGCACTAAAGCCTTGGCTAACCAATTTCTCGAGACGTTTTATCAATGCTCCTTTCTCCATAATTTCTCCACAAATTCCACAGAAGAAGGGGAAGGAGGCTCGTGGATGAGATTTGTACATGAATTCGATATAAAGAAGAAGGGAATGGGGAAGAAATCGATAAAGCTGGGGGGAAATTAAGAGGAGGAGGAGGGAAATTAAAATAGAGGAGATCACAAGATGAGAAGCAGAGAACGAAGAAAAGAGAAGCGAAGCAGAGAACGAAGAAAAGAGAAGCCAAGTAAAGAAAGAAAGAAAGAAGAGTTAATTACTCATATAGGACAAAAAGACTCATCAAATGCTAAAATAGGACTGATTTCGTGTGTTATGTTTAGTAGGAGTCATTTAAGCATGACTGGACCATATTACCCTTATTTTAAATACTCCGTAGTGAATTGCATTTCATTAAAGCAGAGAGTACGCTCCACCTGCGCCACAAAAATATTTAGTCAAATTGGAGATGCAGCCTCCCCACACTGGCATTACCGTACGCCACCACCACCCTCCGCCGGCGCCATCTACCGCCACCCCTCGCCGGCGCTGTCATCTACCGCCACCCCTCGCCGGCGCTATCTGCCGACGCCGCCGACTGTTGCAACCCTATTGGTACATCATCACCGCCCAACTGGTGTTGCCATCCGTCGCCGCCGTCACAACTCCCTCATCGCCGCCAATGTTAAATCCGGGGCTACCACTCACCTCTGAGCACCGCCGCCGTCACAACTCCAGTCGTAGATTTGCCATTAAGTTGTCAGATTTAGCTTGAAGGTTGATTGCAAATCTGCCATTAATATTGAGTTGGCAGATTTGACTGATATGCCAAAAAGTGACTAATTTATCTTGGAAGAAGACCTCAAACTGCCATACTTTTGGCAAAAATATGAAATACCAACCAAATGTTGAAAAATAATTTTTTTGAATGCAACAAACACTCTAACACGATAAAAAAACAAAATTATGAAGCTATTGACAAAATATTAGATAAGCAGATTTACAAAAAAATCTGTTCTGCCAAAAGTGGCAGATTTATCTTGGAAGAACACCACAAACTGCCATACTTTTGGCAAAAATATGAAATACCAACCAAATATTGTAAAATAAGTTTGTTGAATGCGACAAACACTCTAACACAATAAAAAAACAAAATTACGAAGCTATTGACAAAACATTTGATAAGCAGATTTACAAAAAAAACTGTTCTGCCAAAAACGATAGTTAGTGTGTTCATTTTTGCCATAAACTTGGCAAAACTTTATTCCATCATTCAAAAATCTGGAAACTTGAAATTTATTAAAAATACTGAAATTTGAAAACGGAAATGCAAAACAGAAGACCAAAAATCAACAAATCGAATTTCAGAACAAAAAAAAGACGAATGAAAGAAAAATCAGAAAAATCAATTTCAAAGCCAAAAAATAGAATAATAAGAGGAGGAGGATGAAGAAGAAGAAGAAGAGGAAGAAGGAGAAGAAGAGGAAGAAGAAGAATGAAAACTGACCAGACGGCGGCGTGTGCGGGGTGGAGTCGTCGGCAACGTCGGTGGCAAAGGATGAGGTCGGCGATGAAATCGATGTAATATGCAGGGCAGTTTGAATCGATCGATCTGGTGAGGATTGAGAGGAAGAGGAGAGATGATAGTGCGAAGGCCGAAGGGGGAGAAGAAATTGATCGATGTGTTATGCGGTGCGATGGAGAGAAGAAATTATCCAGATGTGTTTTGGGGTGTAGATCCATCATATAACAAAGCAGGGGCAATAATGGAATGATAAATTCCTTATGTTTATAATAGGAGTAATTTGGTCCTATTTGAGAATAAAAACATAAGGAGTCCTATTTTAGATTTTTATCATAGTTTTACTCCTATTTGGAGTAATTTCTAAAGAAAGAAAGAAAGAAAGAAAAGGAAAAGGTAAAAAAATAAAAAGTTAATCCAATCAGATTCAAACACGTAATCGGGTAACCTACTAAAATTTTGTGTTCCAGTTAACAACGTGTTATGGGAAGATTGTCTCTTTAAATTGGGTTATTTTAGAATAACTCATATTTGGGATTAATAATAGAAGACAATGCAAATGTGAGATTATTGATGTGAATTTTTTCAAAAAAATATTCAAAAAAAATCATGCCCCTGCACGTATAACATGAGTGAACAATAACGTTTTGTGTTTCAAAAGAAAATGTTTATTTTATGATATAACTCGCGTCATGACAAATGTAACTTGCATTGATGAAAATTGTAACCCGAGTGAATACAAAATATAATTTGATGAGTCAAGTCGAAATGTAACTTAAAAAAGGTAAAAAGAAAATCAAATGCCTACAGACTACAGTATTGAAATAAGAGCCCGTTTGGTAACACCAAAATTGGCTGTATTGGCTGATTCTGCTGAAATTATAAAGTTCTGGCTGAAGTGGTTGTATTGGCTGATTCTGCTGATTCATGAAAAAATTATATTCAAAATATTTGTTTTTAATAAATAAAATAAAAAATTATATGAAAAAATAGCTAAAATGATCATCTACAGTAACTTCAGCCAATCCACCCAGAAAAGTAACTTCAACCTTATTTTTCCTGCTTATTACACAATTCAGCGCGCAAAATTAAAAGTTACGTGTTTGGTGAAAAATGTGGCTGATAAGCCTCATAGGGGTCACCAAAAGGGCTCTAAATGTGTAAAGCTACAACTAAAATGTGGTAAGCCACACGTACCGGTCATCAAAATCGGTGGTTGCAGCCATGTTAACCACAACATCGACTTCCCTCCATAACCGGTCTAGCAAACTCGAGTCCTTCACGCCCAAATTCTCGCACGTGATATCTCCAGCCACAACATTCACCCGGTCCGATATCAACCCATCCCACTTCTCCCCGTACTTTTCCATTACAACCTTGAACAAGTCTTTTCCCAATACCTGATAAATCCATTATCAATTGGACAGATACTAATATTTTTTTGTGAAATTTTTTACACAATTTGTTTATAGTATCATTGACGTATCTAGAAGACGAATTTATAAGTTACACTAAAATTTAGTCACATATTTCACAAATGACAAATCACATTATTAATATTATACTCCGTATTGTTTAACTAGACTTAGTTTAAGTTATAAATGTGCAAGTATATATATATAAAAGATCAATTTATATTGCGTGAGTGCAAGACGAAATTGTAGATAAAGTTTGAGAAAATTATCTAAGTAGAAGTTAACCTGATAGGAGAATTGACTCAAAGTCCTATATAGTGATTTATTGTTTTACTACTTTTCGGTGTGAGATAACTAATTTAACACACCTCCTCAGCCTGAACCGAGCTGGACAATAATTGGGTGTATAAATTAACAAGCTACATTTAATCATGAATGCTAAACAAGCCGTCAAACCACAACCGGATTTGGCTCTGATATCATGTTCAGATCTAGAGTTCCATCATAAAAGGTTAACTTGATAGGAAGAATAATTCAAAGTCTAGGAGTATTATATTGTTTTATACTTGACCAGTGTGAGACAAATACCTTAATATACATCCTGCATTTACTACTAATACACGATTCCTTATCTTTATTTACCCCTATTTAATTATTACTCCATTCATATTTTTTTTGTTTGCTACACTATGTGTTGGCACATTGTTTAAGAGTGAAATAGTAGGGGTAATGAATAGTGTAGAAAAAGTAGGAGAAATGGTCGAAAAGTATGAAAAAGAAGATAAAAAGTAGAAACAATAAGAGTAGTTGTTTATTTTCGAAGTAAAAACTTTCTAAAAATGAAAATGTAGCAAATTTTTGAATACATTCAAAAACGGAAAGTGTAGCAAACAAAAAAGGGAAAGTGTATTATGACAACCGACTTAGTACCACACTTAGCTTGCTCTATACACTTATTACGTATCTATATTACATTGATGTAATGTGTGATTAGAATTAGCCAATTAGGGATAAAAATTTGGCAACGGGGCTAATATGGGATGGTTATGTTATAACTCAATTCGATCATATGTACACATTTATTAAATTATTTGCATCAAAAGAGCATTTGTTTTAATTTTAGTTGCTATAATTAACTACTGATCATCTGAAAAAAATTGTCTTTGAATTAAAATTAAAATTAAAATAGAAGTCACACTTTTTCCAACTCAAAACAACATTCATATGTCTACAAAACCTGATGAAGTATGTTCTTTAAGAACCGTTATTTGGCGTAGCCTCTTTAAAATTTGTTTGGTCCATTTATTCACCTCCTAAGTTATGCGTTCTATTTTGATGATTATATATAATGTTTACCATATGGATACGTAATACGTAGTACATAACTGTGAAGTAAGTTCCACCCATTGAAAATTATTAAGAGCGAGTTAACTAAGCCCAATATAATACGAGTAATACTACCTAAACTAAATAAGAAAGCTTAACTTCAATTTTCCATGCATGTTGGTCAACATACATTTTTTATCATGGATGTAGGTAGTCAATCTTAATAAGGATGACCAAATATAAAGACCGTGTATTATATTTAAGAACATAACATGACATTCTAAATGTTTGATGCTATCTTAAAAAGATAAACAGGCTCATCGCAAGTAGAACATAGAATGTTCAAATTAAATGACATAAGAGCAAAAGCGTATAAATGTCTAAAAATAATATTTGTACACACCTTATACCCACTCTTATACCCATCACCAATGTGGGTATAATGGTTTTTATGTGAATACACAAACAAAAATACCCTTTCACAGCGGTGAATACAAGAGTAAGTACAAATAGCAAGACTTGATAAATGTGAGGGGAGACGTAGCACCTCAGTGTTGAAACGTTGTACGGCCGCCATTGTGTCTTCAGCCCTTAGAAGAAGAAACAACGTCTTCACATTTGGCTGAAGTCTAAGTATTTTCTCCACAAAAACTACAACAAAATCAGGAAATTCGTTAAAGAAGGAATCAAAAATCCATTATATTAGCTAGGTATATATAGAAGGTCTAGAATAAAAACTGATCCTATATACTACGTATATGAGTATGTATGAACTTTCATACTATACGTACTCTTTGCCAAGAAGCCGGTGGCACCGGTGACCAGAATTGCTCTATCTTCCAAGAAGCTAAGAGCACTGCCCAACACCATTGCTCTTCCTCTTTGTTTGAGCTGCACGAGCTGACGGGGAAAAGGCTTGAAAAGGGTCAATATATATGGGAGAATTGCCACCCAATAATGGGAGTTTATACTGTACTGATCTCTCCGTATTTCCTTTTTTGTTGGTCCCTCTAAGATTATTTCGTATCGGTTGGTAAAATTTGTATGGTTCTAAATCATTGTTATTTTATTAATTCAATATCAATTACAAAAATACACATTTGTTAATAATCTCATCATCTTCTCATGTCTCAACATTAGTGAGGCAGACATAATAAATAATAATATTATTACATCATACTACCTCCATCCCAAAATGAAGTTCTCATTCACCATTTACTTGGCCAACTTAAATCATTTTCAATCTTTTGCTTTATATATCAAATTTATCAAATTTAAATTTTCTTCATCAGGTTTTGTAAAATTTTTAATTTAGTTTCTGAATATGTAAATTTTATTTACTAAAAGCAGTCTCAGTGTGCACATGAATCAATTTGCTTTATAATTAGTCTAGCATCGTAAACCGAAACGGAAACTTTAATTTGTTTAAGGAATGAAGTATGTTTTTGCACCTTGGACAAGACGGGTGAAATGGGTGAAGCAAGAGTTCGAATTTAATCACCACTAGTCTGTTTCTTTTTTTATCCTTTCTTGCACGTGCATTTATTTCCTTTTGCAACAGAACATGCATACTTATGAAGGGAAACAGTGAAACACATGGAATAAGTAAATGAGATAAACAAAAAACAAAAATAGAGTTACAAAATTTAGTCAATCTCCAATGAGATTGAATTGCCATCTTTATAAAAATGATGTAATAACTGGATTGCTTTGTATAAAAAGTTATGACATTATTAGATGCAGAACTTGACACTTTCAATTAAAAAAATGGCCATTTCATATTAGAAATTATGGCATTTTCAGATACAAAATGGTTAGAAAAAGTAACGAACTAATCTGACAGTTTTCAGATTGCATTAAAATTGAAATTACATTAATGTAATATTTTTTAAATAAAGACTGCATTAAATTTGCAATAATTGAAAATAAATTGCGTTAGAGTTGTAATAATCGAGTATGGTAAGTAAATATGTATACTTTCTATAACTTTTTTTTTGGAAGAAATATGTATACTTTCTATAACTTGGAAAATATTACTCCGTATTTATTTAAGTATTGTGTCGATTTGAATTGAATATGAATTTAGATAAAACATACGATTAAAATATTTATGCCTTTAAAACCACATTCCAACCTCTTCGAGTCAGGACTCAGGAGTACGAGATTCCATCTGTTTTTGAGAAGAGGTAGACTATTAAGAGCCTATTTTTTTTGGTGATGTCGAGCACATGCTTAGGGCCCCTTGTATTAATCACAATGTAAACAAAATTCAGTTGAGCACCTAATACATTAAATATACATTTTGTGAGAGAAATATATTGTTGGTTCAAAATAGGTCGCTCGTAGGCTTTTTGGAAAGCTACGTAAGACACTCAAGCAAGAATCAAGAAAGTAAGAACGAATATGGAAAGTGCTCATGAGATTTAGCTGCAAAGAATAGCCTCTAGAATTCGCTCCCTTAGTTTGAATTACAACGTGCCTTTTATAGACGTATACAATTCGTAACCGCTACCAATAATAATGACTAATTAATTACAACATTAATACGGAATTAAATACATAATTAAACAGCGCATTAATTGCTTGTCTGTTACATTTCTTGGCTGGCAGGTCGGCCAGACTGGCATGCTCCCTGCTGGAGTGGTAGGAAGGCTCCAGGTTGTGGACTTGGATCCACGGATCCATGTTCAGGAGTTGGGCCGATTAGGCTCTGGGCCTAGTCCCATTACTCCATCACGAGTCCTCCACTCCCTTAGTCGAGTAGTAGACTCGGCTAAGAGGGAGTAGTCCAGGTCAGTTGCTCTTCTCCGAGACTGGAAGATCTTCGCCCTTGTCCATGTCGGGGAGATGCCTCATTAAAAACCTTCATCGGGAAAAAATCCAATGGGAAAAAATCCTAATGAAGGGAAAAAGAGTACACCAGACGCCCCCAAGATGAAGCAAGAGGTGAAATCCTCAGCCTTTATTGCAATAGTCGCCATCTGCGAAGAGGATGACTAGAACTGTTCTTCTCGTCGGGCTCGAACTCATCAGGCTCGCCTTCGTTCAGTCGTATCCACACATAAAAGCAACAGGTATAGAATAGAGCATTTGGCCTGGTGTCGAACCACGTTCAATGAGTAAGTGAATCGGGCTCGCTACTCGAAAAGAATAACATCAAGTTCCCAGGTAAGGCCTCAACTTAGTCTTCGTAAGGAAGATTGAATCCGCGAGTAAGTGACTCGGAGTCACCACTCGAACGGATAATCCAACCTCAGAGAACTAAAGTATATCAACCTTTTCGGGAAATGTGAACGTCAATTAAGTGAAAAAATTGCTCGGAAGAGCGTGGCTCCAGGCCCCTAACAAGAGTTTAACTCGCCGCCCGAGGTTAGTAGTTCGAATCCGTAAGTAAAAACTTTTGAACGGGTGACTCGTCCCCCGAGGTCGGAGTGTGATGCACTAGAAAGAGGTAAAAGCACGCAAGAACTCGTATGAAGTCAAGAGTGTGTGGTATTAACATTTATATTGGAGCTTATTAATCGTCACACCCATATGACGTGATCCGGTGGCGCGAGTGTGTGTGCTCGGCCAGTGTACGAGTGTGTGTGCTCGTCCGACGTACTTGAGTGATTAGATTTTACAAGTCCGTTGTTCAATGTTAAAATTACACACACTTAACAAGAGTAAAAGCAATCATATCACTTAAAATATCTTTTCAAATGATTCAATTTGTGAATTTTTTATCATATATGTTCACGTATTATTTTTATGAAGAGAGTTTGAAGTACTTAGCTTTTGAACGAACAGAAAAATTGACATTGAATTCTGGCCTGCTGAAAAATTGGATTGGACCAACGGTGGGCTGGCCCACTGTTTTTGCCATGGTAAGCACTTAGGACTTTCCGGCTGAAGACCCTCCTTATGATGGCCTAGAGGTTAAGCTTAGATGCACTCTTCATGGCCCGAAAACAATGCCTAATTTGACGTGTCCTGCAGATGTCTCTTTAGATGGAACCAGAAGATAGGGTGCGGCCGGACAATGCTTTCAGCCAGAGATACTCCCGGCGACTACGGCCACAGACACTACAAACCCCGAGCCTTAAGGTTTCTATCGGCGAGGGACTCTACTTGGCTTGAATCGTCATCTCTTTCCTGGTCATGGATCTGCGGCGGCGACTAACGCAGAGGTGGTGCGAGCAGGAGTGCAGTGGATGCCTCCGTATGAGAGATGGCAGAACCGGCACAAGAGCTCGTACTTCTTCGCCGGCCGCTGGGTTGATGTGTCTCAGCTTTGGGTTTGACAGGAGTCCTCGAGGTGGTGTCATCGCCCATCAGATTGATTTCTCGTGATTGAGATCATGAGATGAATTTCTTGATTTTATTGGAAGCTATTTATGTCCCCGTAGAGGAGAGGAGACCCACCGCCCGTCGCCACATTTTGAAAATTGGCTTTGGCCGGATCTACTGGAGAGAGGGGGAGTCGTTCCACCCGAGCTTCAGCAGGGGGCAGCTTCTGCAGTGGCACGCTTAAGCTGCCAGATCTACTGGACCATTTTTTTCATTAATCTTCCCGATTTTGAGTTACAGACCTGGATCTTACAGCCCTGAACTTGGACTCGTAGGGAGCCTTCTAGTCCGGTCGACCTGCCAGTTAGGAAAAGTAACAGTCAAGCAATTAATGCACTATTTATTTATGTATTTAGTTTCTGTATTAATGTTGTAATTAATTAGTCATTATTATTGATAGCGGTTAGGATTTGTATACGCATATTAAAGGCAGCTTGTAATTCAAATTAGAGGGAAGCGAATTCTATATGCTATTCACTAAAACTCCATCAGCACTTTCCATTTTCGTATCACTTTTCTTGATTCCTGCTTGAGTGTCTAACGAAACTTTCCTAAAAGCATACGAGTGCCCTATTTTGGACCAACAGAGGTTATTAACTCTAAGTCTGGTTCGAGTGCTGACAGTTGCATGTGGTTCATTTGTCATTTTACCTCCTATCTGAATGTTGTGAATTAATTTAAGCCATCTGTTTTGACGATAAAAAAAATCCCCTCAAGAACACATTATAATATAACTTATTCTACGATTGTTGCTTTCTTATCATTCAAAATTTAGGGAAAAATAATTAAAATACCCCAAAAGTTGAAGGGGTGTGAGATGGACACCCCAAACTCGCATATGTATTTTAAACATCCCAAACTTTATATAAAAAGTTATTTTGGTACCATAGTCAAGTATTATTTCTTTCAAAATGTTAATTGATGGTGTTAATTTCCTAATTTCAAATATTCATGAAGACACAATTAACATTATAAACTTCCATTGCGAAATAAATAATGTTACCCCCAATCTATACAATTGCAACACTTTTAATTTGCTATTTTAAATTATGAAATGGACTCCATAAATTTACATTTGCGAAAATAATTTTTTATATAAAGTTTGAGGTATTTAAATTACATATTCTAGTTTGGGATGTTTACACCCCATCAAAATTTGGGTTATTTTTATTATTTTCCCCCAAAATTTAATATCTGTTATGTTTCTTGCTAGCAAAAGTTACTGGCTACACAAAACTTTTCCTTTAACAATATTTTTTTTGAATCGACTTTTCCTTCAACAATTTAAAACTTCAATTAACATATTTAGGAAATCATGCATCTGATTTCACATTTTAAAATCAGTCCAATTAACACTATCGTTATAGAGTTAAGGGGAAGACCAACGGTTATTTTTTGGGTGATACCAATGGTTATTATTAATGAGAGTGTAAAATCTAACGTACTACATGATCAGCCGGGTAAAAAGGTAACAAAAGTAACGGAGAAAGAGAGTAAGAAGACATAAATAATAAATCGTATAGATATACAACTCTTTCTCCTAGGAGTACAATAATATTAGGCATGGTAATGGGTCGGGGCGAGGCGGGTATTGCAAGTCCCGGACCCGCCCCGTGACTTGGCGGGGCGGGTCCGTCCCGTCCCGTGAACTGCACGGGTCCAAACTTGTTAACCCATGACCCGCCCCATGCGGGGCAGGACGGGTCCGCTTCGCCCCGCCGCAATCTAATTAGTAATTAGCTAGTATGTAGTTTTATTTGTGGGAAGTTGTTACCAATTGAATCTACACAATGTTTATCTCTAATTAATAATTAAAAATCAATATATTAAATCAAATTCATGATACGCTAAAAATTTCAAAAATTAAGGAAAAATTACTCAAACTTGAATAGTTAATCTAATTAGTTATATTAATAATTGAATATATGTATTAAAATTCTATATATAAAGAAGACATTGATAATCCGTCGTGCATCTCATTATAATATATATGCATATATTATAAGATCAAAGAATTTATGATTTATTGTATACACACATATGTATGTTGAAGTATATTTGTAGTATAATTTAAGAAAAAGTATGTATACTTATATATTGAGCGGGTCGGGGCGGGGCGGCACGGGTCAATTCTAATACCCGGACCCGCCCCATTGTATAGGCGGGGCAGGGCGGACCCGCCCCATTTGCAAGACGGGGTGGGGCGGACCCGCCACAAATGTCTCGGGCTAGGGCGGGTCATTGTCGGTCGGGTTTTTTTGACATCCCTAAATAATATATAAAGCACAAAGTTACACCAACACTTTTTGGATACCCATTATACCCTTACCCTTACTCTTAGATATGAGATTTTAGATTTAGATTAGAAAAAGTAGTGTGATCCGGTGAGGTCTCGGTCAGCCAGTCGCCTGCGGATTTCACCCGGACTAGTTTTGGATTCGGTGCGGGCCACCCGGCCCGACACTGTTTGTCTCGGTCTAGGCCCGGTTTAAGGATGAAACCGCGGCCGATTCCGGGTATGCTAAAATGTGAAATCGGCCCGGCCAGGCTCGGTTTGGGCCTATATTTTATTTTTTATTTTTTCTTTTTTTGGTTTGGGTTGGGTTTAAATGGGTTGGGCTGGGTGTTTCACTGTTTCCGATGGGTTTGGGGGATGGGGGTAGGGGATGAAATAATCAAGAAAACAAAAAAAAATTAGAACCGGACATGGCCCGGTCCCGGACCGGCACCGGTCAACATCAGGGCCGGTCCCGGGCTTCACTGAATATTTTTTAGCCCGGCCGGGCCTAGGCCCGGGCTGGGCCCGAACCGGCCCAAGACAATGGCTAACCCGGACTTGAAGCTCTATTGCTCTATTCTGCTCTCACCCTAGTAGACTAGTAGAGTAGTATCCACCACCAACCAAAGAGACAGGAATAAATATTTGTTCTATTCCCCCATCATTCCCCAAAAGGCGACGCTCTTCACTGTCTCTCGCAATTTGTTTGTCTTTACTGCCGTTCTTATCTATGGATCGATAACATTGGGTTCAATGGTTCATTCAATTCGATTCATAAGTAAACAATTAAACCCCGTTTATATCCTAGCTGAAGAGTTTATACCGGAGTGGATCTTTCCATTTCTGCCTAAAAATGAAACTCAATCGCAACCTATTCATTTCCTCAAGATCTTTACGCATTTTCTGCCCCAAATTCTAGCATAAATCAAAGATTCTCATATACCCATCAGGAAGCAATTTTGGGGGCTTCAGCAAAGCACAATGAAACGGAGAGGGGTGCGCCCACTCTTCCGTGCACTTCTGCTCATAACGCTGGCGGCGACGCTCTTTGGCCGTCTCTTCCTCCGATACTCCTCATTTGAGTCAAGAATCGGAAACCCTTTTGCCAAGAAGGCCCAAAAAGTGATCTTTAACGAGACCCTTCTCAAATACGCAGATATAGATATTGGGGAGCCTCAGTTAAAGAAGGATGTCGAGGAGCTGTTAGAAGGTAATTTTCGAACTCATGGTCGCCATAGATCTTTCTTGTCTTCTGGTAGATATCATATTGACCTTAGAGTCAGGGCATCCAATGGCATGCCTTTACAGGTCCGGTCAAGGGAGTTTAACGTCCTCTGGGCTAGTTTCCGGAGGTATTTGCGTGACTGGTTTCATAAAAGACGGTTTCCTACTCACTCTATGGTTGAGTTTTTCGATAGAGTAAAGTTCTTGATTGATAACCATGAAAGTAAAGGAGTACTGGATACTAATAAGAAGAAAAGGTATAGTTCTTGTGCAATTGTGGGGAATAGTGGTATTTTATTGAATACTGAATATGGGCTGTTAATAGATGGTCATGAGATTGTGATCCGCTTAAACAATGCCAAGACTGGAGGGTATGAACGTAATGTGGGCTCCAAAACAAACATTTCATTTGTAAATAGTAACATATTGCATCTATGTGCAAGAAGGCAGGGGTGCTTTTGTCATCCTTACGGACCAAACGTGACTATGGTTATGTATATCTGCCAACCGGTCCATTTATTCGATTACCTGGCATGTAATGCCTCTTTCAGAGCCCCACTGGTTGTCACTGACCGAGAATTCGATGTGTTGTGTTCTAGGATTGTGAAGTACTACTCTTTGAAACGGTTTGTAGAGGTTTCGGGGAAGAAGCTGGATGAGTGGGGAGCTGCTCATGATGGGGTTAATTTCCATTACTCTTCAGGCATGCAGGCCGTTATGCTGGCATTAGGATTGTGTGAGGAAGTTGGGATATTTGGGTTTGGGAAATCAGCTTCGGCTAAACATCATTACCACACTAATCAGAAGAGTGAGCTTAAGTTGCATGATTATGAGGCAGAGTATGATTTGTATAGGGATTTGATTGAGAGGCCTCAGGTAATACCTTTCCTTCCTGATATGTTCACGGTCCCTCGTGTTTTAATATACCATTGATATTTTCAACACAGTTGATTTGGTCATTTGACTAGTTAGATTGTTTAGTCTCCCATGGCTAAGCTAACTATATGGGAGAAAATTTCTATTAGACTTAAATCACTCTTTGATCCATCAAAGCCCAGAAGAATGTGTAATCAAAATTGTTGAGTTGTAACTTTTGTAGTACTAAAAAGTTCCAAGTGCTGAAGTGCAAGTAGGCTCTACTATAGTATGGTGCTGTAATTTTGTTTGGGCATGTAATTTGAGGAACACTTGTGTACTTGTGTTAACTTAAGCAGTGATTATTCTGTCTTAAACAACATTAGTGCTTTAGGGCAACTGGTGCTTCACAGTCTTCTATGCAGCTGAGTAATGCTAATTTACACATGGATATATGATAATGAAGCTCTTAGATTCGAACTTGTTAGTTTAGTTCCCTATTGGCAGCTCATTTTGGCCTGTCATTCTTGATGTACACCCCTTGTATACTCCTATTTATCTGTCAAGGTTTTGGCATTTTTACTGAATTATATTTATATAAATGAGTACAAATGGCATGTACAAGATAACAGACAATCTGTATTATCGACTAGCTAAAAAAACATAGTTTCCATTCTGTACAAATGGTGGTTACATTATCAATTTATTCTATATCTTAACAATGCTAACATAATTTCCATTCTGTACAAATGGTGTTTACTTTAACAATTTATAATGCTGTTCACATCCCTTAAATACATAATAACACTTCTAGCTGCGAGTCTTAAAGGCATATATCATCAACCCAAGAAAGTGAGTCTTCATGAAATAATTGCCCCACTTGACTACTTTTGGGTCAAAGTAGAACATATCTGCCTCAATGCCCCCTTCTTCAGCCACTCTCCCCAATTGTTCTAGGTTCATATCATCAAATCTGTCCCCCATATATTCAATCATATTATGTTTTCTCAGGCACTTTGATTTAATAAACAATATAGTTAATTCAAAATTTAATAATTATACTTGCATTCCCTTGAAGCATGTGTATGGCTTGTATAGCTCTACCATCCTCATCATTATCTTGATTTTTCTATGCATCTCAGTGTATACA